GATTGAAACTATAGAAGATTGTACTGAAATCGATGCTTTCAATGCTTTTTGTGAACCTTGTGCTCCAAAATACAAGGCGAACTCAGCTTACAAGAGAAACAGTAGGATTGGGCCTAATGAGATGAGCTATTCGATGCAGAATTTCAAGCTTATCATGATGCTGATTTTCCTTTTTTTGCTACGTAGCACTCTGTCATACGAGACATTTGAGAAAAAAGTTTTTGAATAGTGAAACTACGGTAAAGTTTGATTGGTAATATTTGAAAGTTTACTCAAAATTGAATAGGATTCTTGTCTCAAGAACTACAGTAAAAACAGTACTTGACTACACAGTATACTGTGATGTGTACTATATCACAAAATACTGTACAGTTTTGTAGTATCACAGTACTGTAGTATCCTGTGATATAGTACTCATCGTAGTCTGTAGTATCACAGGATACTGTACAGTCCTGTAGTATCACAGGATACTGTACAGTCCTGTAGTATCACAGGATACTGTACAGAATGTAGTATCACAGGGTACTGTACAGTCCTGTAGTATCACAGGATACTGTACAGTCCTGTAGTATCACAGGATACTGTACAGAATGTAGTATCACAGGGTACTGTACAGAATGTAGTATCACAGGGTACTGTACAGAATGTAGTATCACAGGATACTGTACAGTCCTGTAGTATCACAGGATACTGTACAGAATGTAGTATCACAGGGTACTGTACAGTCCTGTAGTATCACAGGGTACTGTACAGTCCTGTAGTATCACAGGGTACTGTACAGTCCTGTAGTATCACAGGGTACTGTACAGTCCTGTAGTATCACAGTCCAGTACTGTGATACTACAGACTACAATGATTACTATATACTGTGGTTCCCGTAGTTTTGAAAGATTATACTGTAATGGTTCTGCTTATAGATATTATAGACTTTAAAAAGTCTGTGAATACTGTAATTCTATAAAGAAGTACTGTAATGGTTCAACTTTTAAATTAACTAGAGTGCTCTTTAATCTAAAATTTGAATCATTACTAAATCATAAATTACTATATAAATGAAAGCAATTTCCTGCTATAATAGCTCTAAATTGAACTGGATTTTCAATTTTAAATTTTCAAAACGGAAAAGTTATTGAAAAGAATCATCTTTGAAAAAACGAATCGTGAAGATTTAAGCTGAAAAAAAAAAAGCTGAAAAGCTTTATTTCTTTGTCAACTATTTGAGTATTTCAATTCGTAGAATAGGAAAATATTTTTAGCTAAATTTTCTTTTAAAAAAAAGCCTGAGGGCGTAATATTGAGATGAAAAATGGAAAAAAAATAAAGATGAAGAACGAAAATGAATGAAAAAATAATGAAGAAATAAAGAAGGATTTTGAATTCTCGATTTTAGGATGAGAATTTCGATTTTAGATAACGAAATTGAATAAACTATTCAGTATTTCGAAAGCTTACCAAAGTTTCGTAGCTCTTAGTTCTTAGTTCTTAGTTCGTAGCTCTTAGTTCGTAGCTCTTAGTTCTTAGTTCTTAGTTCTTAGTTCTTAGTTCTTAGTTCGTAGTTCTTAGTTCTTAGTTCTTAGTTCTTAGTTCGTAGCTCTTAGTTCTTAGTTCGTAGTTCTTAGTTCTTAGTTCTTAGTTCTTAGTTCGTAGTTCGTAGCTCTTAGTTCTTAGTTCTTAGTTCTTAGTTCTTAGTTCTTAGTTCGTAGTTCTTACCAAGCCTACCAAAGCTTACCATCGTAACTCTGAAATTTGCATTTTTGTTTCCTTGTCTTTTCCCAGCTCACTACTGAAAAAGATTCAAATTTTCAATTTTCGAATGATTCAAAATAATAATTACCGTATTTTCTCTAATAGTAGTGCACCGCACTGAGCCGAGTTGGTGACCATTTTACGGTTTCGAAGCTCTTGCAGAAGCTCAACACTCAAATCATTCAAATCCCCCACAAGATCTCATTGTCAGCTCCATTTTCCGACCCCACATCGATAGGTTCTGATAAGCAGTTCTCGAGATTTCGAGGAATTTAGGCAACGCTCAGGGTGCACTACTATTAGAGAAAATACGGTAACTACAAAGAGTTTACGGATTACTGTAATTGGTTGAATATAAGCTAACCCTGGAATTATCTCTATTTTTTTAGGCTATTGATCAAACCCAAAATTGTGTCACTTCCGGTGAAACTTGAAGAAAATAACTTAAAATTATACTAGAAGAGGTGAGTTTACAAAATTGCAAACTACATGGCTAGAAAGTACATCTCTTTATGCCAAAAGGGGTGCGTTTACAGATCTGGCTCAATGTACAATGGCATGGGAAACTGGGAAAGCTTTTCATTGTGCAAAAAAAAAAAACAGTCAAAGTTCAATTTTCTGATGAATGATAGGGTAAAGATCAATTTTTAAGAAGAAAATTTGAAAAGAAAGAAAGAAAGAAAGAAAGAAAGAAAGAAAGCAGAAAAGAAACAAAGCAGGAAAGAAAGAAAGAAAGAAAGAAAGAAAGAAGGAAAGAAAGTACTTCCTTTCATTCAAAAATGGACTCATTTCTTGAAAAAGGAGATTCTGGGTTCATCAAAACTCTTTTTTTTTCTCACGCATTTCAATTAATTGCACTTGAACGGGATTTCAGAGAGGAAAATGGGGTTTGCAAGAAAATTCTAATCTTTCAGGCAAAGATTTTTGTGGTATTGTTCTTTATTCAAATTGTTGCGTACTTTCTTTTCATTCGTCATTTGTACAAACAAAAACAGCGCTTGGCATTGACATTCTGGATCAGGATGACCGGAAAATCCTTCAAATCAAATTCAATTTCTCATTTACGGACTCATCTATCTGGCTTTATGCTGATGACACTAAAATAACTTTTTAAATCCCCATCAAAGATGTAGCCGCTTTTTAAAACAGTTTTTTAAAAAAGTTAATATTTCATAGATAAAAGTGTCGAGTCGCTAGGTCGCTAGGTCGGCTAGTTTCCATAATTTTTTTCCACAACTGGATTGTTTGCGCAACTCGCCATAACTTTCTTCTAACTCGACCAATCTTTATGATTTTCGTTTCATTTTGTTGCACTTATTGAGATCTACAAAATGACACAAAGAACAGAGAGATTGGCCCACTTAGAAGATAGTTATTCATCAGAAGAGTCGGAAGGAAGATGGTCCTGACCTAGATGAGTCATAACTTTCTTCTAACTCGACCAATCTTTATGATTTTCGTTTCATTTTGTTGCACTTATTGAGATCTACAAAATGACACAAAGAACAGAAAGATTGGCCCACTTTCCTGAAAGTTGAGAGAGTCTTCGTATTGAGAAACATTCTTGCGGGATGTTGTTGTATGTGGGCGGAATTGAACCCAAGGGGGGAAATAAGACTGCCGATTAACAGACCAAAGCCAGATCGATCTGGATTTTGGTGTCATTTTGTAGATCTCAATAAGTGTAACAAAATGACACCAAAATCATAAAGATTGGCTGACTTAGAAGAAAGTTATGACTCATCTAGGTCAGGACCATCTTCCTTCCGACTCTTCTGATCAATAACTATCTTCTAAGTGGGCCAATCTTTCTGTTCTTTGTGTCATTTTGTAGATCTCAATAAGTGCAACAAAATGAAAGCAAAATCATAAAGATTGACCGACTTAGAACAAAGTTATGGCGAGTTGCGCAAACGATCCAGTTGCGGAAATTAGCCTACCCCCTCTCGTGGAATCATTTTTGTTTTTAGGGGAGTTGTTTTTCTTTCCAAGTGTTTTAAGTAAAGATAAATTATAGTTTTACAAGTCTTCAACACAATGGTCAGTTACAATTACAAAAGTTACTTGAAGACATTTGAAACAAAACTTGAAAACTATCATTACACTAAAATTACCTCAAAGCTTTGATGAATGCTTGAGATGAAATCACGCCAGCCAACTGTGCTATCATTATTGCAAACTTTCGCAATTTCTTTTTCCGCAACTGGATTGTTTGCTCAACTCGCCATAACTTTCTTCTAAGTCAACCAATCTTTGTGATTTTGATTTCATTTTGTTGCACTTATTGAGATCTAGAAAATGAAACCAAAATCATAAAGATTGACTGACTTAGAAGAAAGTTATGGCGAGTTGAGCAAACGATCCAGTTGCGCAAAAGAAATTGCGGAAATCAGCCTACCCCTCGATACTCAGTTGGTTAACTTTATGTTTTTAACTTTCAAGGGGGTGGGACAAATGCGACCTTTTTTTTTTGCGCACCTGGACATTTGCGCACCTTTTTTTGCTGGAAAAGGCCTTAGGCAAGGCCGTAGAGCTTCGAAAATGTTTTCATAGAAGAGAATCGTATGCGTAGATTCCGAATTTCGACAAATCAGACCTCGCTGACACGTCAAATTTGGGCTAAAAGGCAAAAACTACGCAACTTAACGCTTTTCCGCAGTTTTTGCCTTTTAGCCCAAATTTGACGTGTCAGCGAGGTCTGATTTGTCGAAATTCGGAATCTACGCATACGATTCCCTTCTAGGAAAACATTTTTGAAGCTCTACGACCTTTCCTAAGGCCTTTTCCAGCAAAAAAAAAGGTAGCATTTGTCCCACCCCCACTTTCAATTTGTTATAAAATGCCTTTTTTTTGGATAATTTTTACGTTTATTTTTCAGTTTTGTTAACAATAAATCGTTTTTTTAAAGAAATGCAATGGAGTAATGGTTTTTAAACCAATTACACGGTAGAAAGTGTATTTTTCAATTTTAAACAATTGAATCATCTTTCAAGGCGTGTCTTGTACCAAAGCTGGCCCCAAAAAGTTGCTCTTTCTACCGTACTCTTGTCTTTCTTTCAAACACAGCTCTCCTCATTACCCTATCCTATTTCAAAACGCATTTCACTTTGTTTTCAATTAGTTTCACGTTTCTATATGATTTTCAATATTTTTAATCTTTTTTCAATCTTTTTTAAACGTTTATACAGTTTTTCTTTCAGTAACGACTCCGTTGAACATCGAAAACGTGAAAATACGGGACTCGTGCCAGAAAGATGGGTCGAAGCATTGTGATTCCTCTTCGAGACTCGAGAGAAGAGGTACTATTTTATGAAAAAGTTATGTTAGGTGCTATTAAACTTGTCTAAAGGTAACCAAAAATAAAATTTTCTTGTCAAATGCTTTTTACAGTATAGACCAGACTCGTAGGCGGAAAGTTGAACGTTTTAGGGCTTTCCGTTCGCATCAAGAATTTCGTCAAAACTATCAAATACCTTAAAAACAAGAGAAAATCTATAGCTAATCAAATTTTCCGCTCACGAGCTTTAAACACTATTAGATTCTATATAAAAACAAACTTTGTTGTGGATAACTTGTGTGGTTTTCCTAAAAATTCCTTCTGTGATGCTCGATTCGCTCTCAATTTAGCCCGAACGTTTAAAAACGACTACTCGTTTGTGCACCGAGGTGTGGAATTTGACCGATCAATGGAAATCCCTCTCAACGAAAGCTGAGAACTCGTTGAATCGTTTGGCAAACAACAAACTTCGACTGTTGTATTCAGTGAAAGAAGCCCCCGAGCAGTCGATTAGCGATTTTTCAACACCATCGACCACATCTGAGCTCACCAACGACGAGAAGATGAAAATTAATCGGGAAATTGTCGCGGACGCTGGTCAAATTGAGGAATTGTTGACGGAGATGGAAAGATTGACGAACAAATTCTCGCAAGCAGAAGGACGACTGCTCAGCATGAAAGAGCTCAACAAAAACAGTCCTCGATCATTGTATTTGACCACTGAATTAAGCGATATCTTGCCACCACTGAAAGGCATGTTCTTGAAAGAAATACAAGCGAAAAGAGCTGGTCTATCGGATGTTGGACTTTTCAATAATCGAGAGGTTTTCGCGGCGGTGCTTGTCTCCTACAAATATGAACCATTCATTGAAAGGGGCCTACTTGAACGATTGTACGGACTAATTGCTGATGGGGAAAAGAATATTTAAGTTGTGAATAAATCGTTTAACAAAAAGCCACAAAATGTTAAGGTTTTAGCCTTTAAATCTTTGAACAATTGTATCTTTAGGAGGTGATCGAGTTTGCTGTCGATGAATTGCCGCCGTTGGATGAGATGTTGGACATTTTGCGTCAAGAAAGGGCTCCATTGCATTGTTGGGTCGATGCTGCGGTAAGATTTTAAAAGTTTACATAGCTAGCAAATATTTTTTGTCGCTGAACTTTTTGGGGATCTTATTAAACTTTAAAAGTTTAAAGTTTGATTCAAAACAGTTTTGATGTTGATTCTTTTACGAGAATAACTTGTCACATCTCTTTTATAACTCTCATCTTTAGGTTGGATATCACATTCAAGGTAGAAATGATGAATTCATCAGATTGCTGGAAACTGCTGGAGGTAGATTAAGCAATTAACTGATTTGAAATTTCTAATTTAGGTGACGCCTTTCTCGACTACCCGGGAATTGAGAAAGACCAGATGAGAGCTCTCGACACGTTAGCTGCTTTTTATGTGCAAGAGGTTTGTTTATTTTTACTTTTAACCTGATTCAAACAATCTTATGCTAAACTTTTTTGCTTTAGGGACATCGAGAACGGGCAAACAAGGAAAGACGCAAGGAATGTTTCCAAAAAGCCACACTACTCTACACAACGGCTGATAAAATTCAAATGTAAGCTATTGCTTTAGCTTTGAGCAAATGAATCGTTTTAGGTATGATCAAGACCACTTACTAGGCCGTGCCTACTTTTGTCTCCTCGAGGGCAATAAGATGGAACAAGCCGATCAACAGTTCAATTTTGTCGTCAACACGGTAAAATTTGTGAGATGGTCTACTTCTATGCAGCTTTAGTCTCCCGATAATATTCCCGCCACATTGGGACGAGCGTGCATTGCTTTCCAGAAGAAAGACTACAAAACAGCACTTCTTCATTACAAGAAAGCGTTGAAGTTGAAGCCAGATTGTCCACCGGATGTTCGACTCGGGATTGGGCACTGTTTGGTGCGCTTGGGGAAATTAGATAAAGCGAGGTTTGTATTATTGACATAATGGTAACTTTGTCGATCTAGAATTGCGTTTGAAAGATGCCTTGAAATGGATAAACACAATATTTCGGCGATGGCCGCTCTCGCCATCATGGACAACAACATGAATACACCTGAAGGTAATATATTGTTTGTTAAATTGTAACTTCTAGCCTTTAGGAGTTCAACAAGCCGTCAATCGACTCAGCTACGCGTATAAACTTGAGCAAAATCATCCGATTGTGCTCAATCACTTGGCAAATCACTTTTTCTTCAGATTGGTGAGTTTATCCAGTTCTAATCGGAATTTTGATAGCATGTTTTAGGAATTTGATCGAGTCGAGAAGTTGGCTTGGCACGCTTTCCAGGTGGCTGACACTGATGCGATCAGAGCTGAAAGCTCATTTCAACTAGGACGATGCTTTCATTATCAGAAGAACTACGAGAAAGCTTTTCGGGTATTCTATAAATGTAATAACTTCAATACGTTTATTTAGCATTATTATCAATCGGCCCAATACGCTTCATCGCATTTTGTCCTTCCACAATTCGGCCTCGGTCAAATGTACATTCAACGCCAGGAATTCGAGAATGTTTGTTAAGCCTTTCTTGCGTTAATTAATCTGTGCTTAGGCGATTGCCTGTTTTGAGAAGATTCTGAAAGTTCAACCAAACAGCGCTGAAGTTTTGAAGGTAACCAAAAAAACTAATGAGCTAATATTGGAATTGATTTAGATTCTCGGATCATTGTATGCACATGCAGAAGCGCCGCCAAAAGAACGGGATTCTCGGACACAAAAAGCGAGGTATGGGGATACTCTTTTCACTTGTAGGATGACTTTAAATGGATATTCTATGTGAAACAAAATCATGTGCTTTCAATATTTTTATTTTAGGGACATGCTCACTCGACTTTTGACAATCTGGCCTGATGATGTCGAGGCGTTGATCGATTTGGCACAACTCACCGAGCACATTGATGCACAGGTTGAAAAATAAGTTGAACGCTAATTGTACTGTTTTAGAAATCTCTTGTATCCTATCAACATGCAGCCAAAATATTAACTGAACGAGAAGGAGTTGAGGTAATTGAAGTTTTGTTGGTGGAACATGGGAAATGTTGATCTTTTAGGTGCCAGCCGAGATGAAGAACAATATGGGCGCTTTGCAGATGAGTCTTTGCAATTACGAGGAGGCGCGGAAACTTTTCGAGGAAGCTTTGGAACAAATAGAGGTAAAAACAAACAACCGTATTTCAATAAAACCTCATTGGCAATTTTTCAGATTGATGTAGCTCAAGGTGAAGCTGATCCAAGTGTCGTGGTGACGATGCGCTACAATGTAGGACGAGCACTCGAACATCTCTGCCTATTCGATGAGGCTGAAAAAGTTTACAAGGAGATCATCAGGAATAACCCGAATTATGTGGATTGTGGGTTTTAAGCAAAGATTTTAACAGAAATTTATAAGTTTGTTCTTTATGCACTCTAAAGACTCCTTTTAGGCTACATGCGTTTGGGATGTTTGATGCGTGATCGAGGGCAAATCTACGAATCGTCTGTTTGGTTTAAAGTAAGTTATTCATCGTCATGGCTTAATTAGTTGGTTTTAGGAAGGTTGCAGTGTCGATCAGCAAAACATTGATGCGTGGACTTTAATCGGAAATTTGCACATGGTTAAACAAGAGTAAGCTTTTATGGAAGCAAAACAATCTCTTGTCTAGATGGCAGCCAGCTCAGAAGAAATTCGATCAAATTCTGAAGATGTCTCGGGATGACGCGTATTCGAACATCGCTCTTGGAAATGTTTGGCTCGAGACACTGTTTGGGCAAAATCGAAATAAAGAAAAGGTTAGCTCTATCGGATAATTTCCGTATTTTGGCTTTTTGGGACAAAACTCATGCTGAACGTGCCATCTATCACTACACGAAAGCGCTGAAGATTCAGCCGAAGAACATGTGGGCAGCGAATGGAATTGGTGAGTTTAAAAGTTTTGAGCAATTGTGATTCGAAAACATTAATTAAGCAAATATTCTTATTTAGCGTGTGTTCTGGCAGCTCGAGGCTACATGAATGAGGCTCGAGATGTTTTCTCACAGGCATGTTGAAGTGTTTTCAGTTTTCGGCTAGTGCTAAGAGAGTGAAACATTGATTTTGATCCATTTTTTAGGTTCGAGAAGCTACAGCTGATTTCATGGACGTTTGGATTAACATTGCGCATGTTTACACCGAGCAGAAACAATATGTGGCCGCTGTTCAAATGTACGTTTGAATTAGAATAATGTTTGCTATGTTCATCTCTTTCAGGTACTCATCGGCGATTAAACGTTTCGGCTGCGAGAACAACACGACATTGCTGCTGTATTTGGCACGCGCTTATTTTCTTGCTGGAATGCATTTGGAGTGTCGTGATGTGTTAGAAAAGGTAATTTTTAAAGTAAAATCTTATTTTTAAAGTCTTCTAGATTTTGCTCGAGCAACCGGAGAACTTGGTTGCTAAATTCAATTATGCATTTGTCACGAGGAAAGTAGCTACGACTTTGTTAAGGTTTGTTGTTTTAAAAATTATTGGAGTACGACTCTTTGCAGGGATGACAAATCTTCTTTGGAGCAAGTTAATGGTGCTTGTGCTGATTTGAAGACGGCTGAGCGGTGGTTTAAAATGTTAATTTAGTAATAATTTTCTTTTAGAATGTTCACTTGGATGGCTCAGAACAGGGATGAGACTTATTTATTCACGAAATTTGTCTCGAAAACGTCATGTGCCGAGCAGGTTAGCTAACGCTTTCAAATTTTTGCTTACCATTACCTTTAGGGTCGTGGCTGCAGTGATGTGATCAAACAGTCGGGTCAGTACATTGCACGAGCACAGAAGAAAGATGAAAGTGAACGACATCTTCGACTCAAACAAGAAGAGGAACGGGAGGCACTTAGGGTGTGTTTCTTGGTACTTAAACGGATTAAAATACTCTGCTTTTAGCAACGTATCCTGGCCGAACGAAAAGCTCGTGAAGAAGAGGAGGCAATGAAGAAAGAAGAATTGGCAGCACAAAGAAAGATTTACATGCAAATGACGAAGGATTTACTGAAGATGCCCGAGGTGAGTTTTGACTATGATCAACTGTAAATAAAGAATTTAGGTAGCACAAGAAGAGAAACGATCACGAAAAGAAGGCGGCGGCGGAGGAGGACGAGGAAGAAAGAGAAAGGGAGAAGAGGGAGAGGAATTCGTCAATGATTCATCGGTTTGTAACTGAATGCATAATGTTAACTGGTAAACTTTAGGATATGGGTGATTGGAGAGGCGAAGGAGGAGAAGGTGGACAAATGGGAGAAAAGAGGAAAAAGAAGGCGTCCGGCAAGAAAAGAAGGGAAAAGAAAGAGCCTGGTGAGGGATTGGAAATTAATGCTTTTCTAATGTCTTCTTTCAGGAGAATCCGACGGCGACTCAGACGACCGAGAAGAGAGACGCCGACGTAAGAAGGAACGAGCGGCCGAGAAGGCCGAGGCTAAACTCTCCGCTAAACAACAAGCAAAGAGTAAAGTTTTTGAGAAAGCTTATTTAGTTTTTGTTTTCAGTCAAGTCACGAGCTTACTTATCTTCCGAATCCGAGTCTTCTGATGAAGGAGCTGGGAAAAAACAAGCGGCAGCCTCGGCAAGTGAGGAAAGCCCTCCACCACCTGCTTTCGATGATTCGGATAGTGCGGAAAGTCAGGCAAGGTGGGTAACGCGTTACTGGGTCCATTTGTGAGATAAACACGAAAGATTTCGTAGAAAGAACATTGATATTGATATATCTAATGGTTACTTTTAGTGCAACGGTTAGTCGAGCAAAGAAGAAGCGAGCGGTGATGAGTGACAGTGATTCGAATGAGAGTTCAAAGGGAAACAAAAGTGATGATGATGAAGATTAATTTATTACCAGTTATCAGAATAATATTTGAAATATATTTGTGTCTCTAACTGTTTGTCGATTTCAATCATTGAAACGGTTGATGATGAACTGCTGGAAATGCGAGAACGACCGAAGAATTTGAGAAAAATTCGGAAGAAACGCTGACGCCAATCGCTCACAGAAAACAAACCGATTAATAAGTAGCCGGAACAAAAACTGAAAAAGATCTGTAGCGGTTAAAATTTAGATTAGCTTTAAGCTGACCCTGCTAGGACCAGATTAACATTAGACCTGGGCCAGCCAAAAATCGATTTTTCTAAAACTTCTTCACTCACACAATTGTCCAAGCCTCATAAGCTGCCCCAAACATTTGCGCTCCAAGTGATCGATCCGGATAAAAAAGGACTGCAATTACTAAAAGACTCGTGCCAAAGAGGTCAGCGAAGATCGAGAAATAGAGGAAATTGCGGATGAACTGGAATTGATTGAAGATGTATTAGTTGGGGAAATTTAGACCATTTAGCTTTAGAAATTTTATCCTAGAGTCATTCCTGAAGCAATTTGATGCTCACCTGAAACGATCGAATATTCTCGGCAGCTTGATATCTAGCTGACAAAGCATAATCGCACGGTTTTGAGCTCAATTCGTCGAGAATCCTCTCGTTACTGATTCTGATCTTTTGAGCAGACTAAATTTTTTTTTGCTTTTTCGAAAAATACGGTTTCATTTACCCAAATAAATATAACCATCGTTGAGAGAAAAATCGGGATCCCAAAAATGATCGTGATCGTTTGAAGCATTCCGATGACTGAAGTTGGGGAATTTTTAATGTTTTAATTTTTAATTTCATGGGAGGATTTATATAAGAGTTATATATTTATTTCATTATAATGGAGAGTATGTCTGTGTGTGTGCGTCCGTCTTTCTGTTATGCGATTTTAGAAACAAAAAAAATCGATCAGTCGATCGAGCTAAAAACTTTTGACAGTAGAAACCTAGCTTTTTACGTAGTTTGTGATAAAATCTTATAAGATTTGATACAGAATTTGAACGTTTTTCGCGCAAAGAACAGATACTACCGAGTGACCGAGTGCTAGTGCGTCCCGGCGTCCCGATCTGCCAAGTTTGAGCAACGTTCGGCTTGGTTAGTCCCGGGTTCAATCCCGACCCAATCCAATCTTTTTTTTTACTTTCTTCCTTTCTTTCTTTCTTTTTACACTTTTTTGAGTGTGAAAGATGACGATTTCGATTCCACTAGGAGTAAAGGAAAATCGAAAGAAAACTAGATATAAAAACTAGATATAAAATAGATATAAACTAGAAATAGAGATAAAACTAGATTTAAAAGAGCAGTCTCTGTCCGTCTCTAGGTTTTATGTCTGTAAGTTTAACTTACAAAAACTGCCGAAGATTGATCCTAAAATCGAGGCGGTGAAGACGGAAATGATGATGTATGTGGAGATAAATGAACGGGCATTTCTCTCGTAATCCCACATGAAAATTAGGGAACAAATTCTGAAAATGAGTTGCTGATGGTATTGCAAAAAAAAAAAGTGCTTCTTGAAAACAACTTTAACGATTTCATTATTGGATTCGTGGGTAGAGATTTACGCTTTTTTTCAACATAAAATTCCAAAAATGTAGATGTAGAGAGAGGGAGGAGTTTGTGGAAAAGAGATTGGTTGGGAAAGAGAGTTTGTGGGAAAGAGATAAGTGAACATTGGCTCTTGTGGAAAAAATGAACTTTCACTTTTGACATATTTACTTGACAGAAAATGAGAACTTGTTAGAAATCAGTGCTCATCTCTCTCAATACGAACGCAAATCTTTTTTTTTATTCTTTATTGTGTCGGGGGAATGAAAATGGATTCTAAATCTCAGCTTTCGGAGGAGGCTTCAATGAATTGCTGAGGGAGAGATGCCCGAACACAACGTCAAGCCAAATTTGCAGGAGAAGTATGCTCTCGGTGCTCTCGATGCTTCGGGATTTGGAAGAGCCTACCGTAAATACTGTAATAGTACCCCGCCCCCAATAATGACGGTGCGGAGTGTTGCGTAGTCTAGCTTTGTTTTCGAGTTTTTCTCGACACTGGTTTATGCTACAGTGCGCGCTTAGGTATCAAAAAATAGCCCTCAATTTCAGCTATTTAGCGATGCCAGCTCTAAAGCACGACAGAGGTCTAGTTCAGAGAGCCAACGCCGATCCAGTGCTTTTGTGGTGTGGGCCAAATTGAGCCAGGAGAAGGCTAGCTTCTGAGCAGGTATCTCCAGCTAGATCTCAGTGCTTATAAGCTAAATCAGAGCTAGGGGAGAGCCAAGTTAACCTACCGTAAATACTGTAATAGTCGCCCCCATAATGACGATGCGGAGTGTTGCGTCGTCTAGCTTTGAACGAGTTTTTCTCGACACTGGTTTATGCCACAATATTCGCTTAGGTATCAAAAATAGCTGAAATTCAGGGCTATTTTTTTGATACCAAAGACACATTTTTTGAAAGTACGGGCGCTTTGAAAAAAATGAAATACTAAAAAACTTTTGCGACTACGCGACTGTACGAGGGCGGTGGGGTACTATTACCGTATTTACGGTATCTACTGGGAACTTTTGCAAGCAAGACAACACTCAACTTAATCAAATGAGCAGCTTGACATTTCAGCTAAATCTTTACAAGAGAAAAATCATCCATGAACATAATAATGCTAGACCGCATTTTTGGAAGACGACTCGTTCTACACTAAACTCATTGGATTCTCTGAGATTTGAAAGAGTCTATCTACTAGGAACTACTAGGAACTCAACTTTTGGATAGCAAGACAACACTCAACTCAACTCAGTTAAATGCTGTCAACTAAATGCTGCCAACTAAATGCTGTCAACTAAATGCTGTCAGCTAAATGCTGTCAGCTAAATCTTTACTAGAAAAAGAGCTCCAAGAGAAAAATCATTCTTCAACATGTTGGAAGATGATTCGTTTTAAAATTGGATGGGAGGTGATGCCCCATTCATTACAGCCCTGATCTTGACCCTCTGATTACTTCCAGGTGATGAGCAATGATTTGGCAATACTTTGGCAATACTTTGATTCCGTAGAAGTGGAAGAAGAAGGGAAGTAAATGGCTGACAGATTGGTTTACGTCAAAAACCGAAGATTTATCTACGGGAGAAGCATTTGCTCTCTACCACTAAAATGAGCGTAAATCATACAATAAAATTGAATTTTCTTAATTGAAGAAAAACTTGATTACAACCAACCAAAATCCACTCAAAAATTCGAACCTTTCAACAAGAATTGTGGGATAGATCGTGAAAGCCACGGACATTGCTTGAAGTCGCATTAAGCTGAGGATGATGAGTGGAAGGTCGAGCAAGGGATCGCCTGCATTTCTTCTTTATTTGGTGAGGATTTTTTTTTTGGTTAAAAGTATTCGATATTCCGAATTCTTATTTGAATTCTTAATTCATAAGCTTCTTAAGGCTTCTTAAGAAGCTCAAAAAGCCTTCTAGAATTCTTAAGAAGCCTTCTAGAATTCTTAAGGAGCTTAAGAAGCCTTCTAGAATCCTTAATAAGCTTAAGAAACCTTCTAGAGTTCTTAAGAAGCCTTCTGGAATTCTTAAGAAGCTTAAGAAGCCTTCTAGAATTCTTAAGGAGCTTAAGAAGCCTTCTAGAATCCTTAAGAAGCTTAAGAAGCCTTCTAGAATTCTTGGAAGCTCAAGAAGCCTTCTAGAATTCTTAAGAAGCTCAAGAAGCCTTCTAGAATTCTTAAGAAGCTTAAGAAGCCTTCTAGAATTCTTGGAAGCTCAAGAAGCCTTCTAGAATTCTTAAGAAGCTCAAGAAGCCTTCTAGAATTCTTAAGAAGCTTAAGAAGCCTTCTAGAATTCTTAAGAAGCTTAAGAAGCCTTCTAGAATTCTTAAGAAGCTCAAGAAGCCTTCTAGAATTCTTAAGAAGCTTAAGAAGCCTTCTAGAATTCTTAAGAAGCTTAAGAAGCCTTCTAGAATTCTTAAGAAGCTCAAGAAGCCTTCTAGAATTCTTAAGAAGCTTAAGAACCCTTCTAGAATTCTTGGAAGCTCAAGAAGCCTTCTAGAATTCTTAAGAAGCTCAAGAAGCCTTCTAGAATTCTTAAGAAGCCTTCTAGAATTCTTAAGAAGCTCAAGAAGCCTTCTAGAATTCTTAAGAAGCTTAAGAAGCCTTCTAGAATTCTTGGAAGCTCAAGAAGCCTTCTAGAATTCTTAAGAAGCTTAAGAACCCTTCTAGAATTCTTGGAAGCTCAAGAAGCCTTCTAGAATTCTTAAGAAGCCTTCTAGAATTCTTAAGGAGCTTAAGAAGCCTTCTAGAATCCTTAATAAGCTTAAGAAACCTTCTAGAGTTCTTAAGAAGCCTTCTGGAATTCTTAAGAAGCTTAAGAAGCCTTCTAGAATTCTTAAGGAGCTTAAGAAGCCTTCTAGAATCCTTAAGAAGCTTAAGAAGCCTTCTAGAATTCTTGGAAGCTCAAGAAGCCTTCTAGAATTCTTAAGAAGCTCAAGAAGCCTTCTAGAATTCTTAAGAAGCCTTCTAGAATTCTTAAGAAGCTCAAGAAGCCTTCTAGAATTCTTAAGAAGCTCAAGAAGCCTTCTAGAATTCTTAAGAAGCTCAAGAAGCCTTCTAGAATTCTTAAGAAGCCTTCTAGAATTCTTAAGAAGCTCAAGAAGCCTTCTAGAATTCTTAAGAAGCCTTCTAGAATTCTTAAGAAGCTCAAGAAGCCTTCTAGAATTCTTAAGAAGCTCAAGAAGCCTTCTAGAATTCTTAAGAAGCTCAAGAAGCCTTCTAGAATTCTTAAGAAGCCTTCTAGAATTCTTAAGAAGCTCAAGAAGCCTTCTAGAATTCTTAAGAAGCCTTCTAGAATTCTTAAGAAGCTCAAGAAGCCTTCTAGAATTCTTAAGAAGCTCAAGAAGCCTTCTAGAATTCTTAAGAAGCCTTCTAGAATTCTTAAGAAGCCTTCTAGAATTCTTAAGAAGCTCAAGAAGCCTTCTAGAATTC